CAAACAGAAGTTGGGTTAGAAATATGTTGGTCCTTTTACAGTAATATGCAAAATGGGGGAGGTTGCTGTTGAACTTAAACTGCCTAAATCTCATAAAGATGTGCATCCTGTAGTTCATTTCAGTCTGCTGAAACGGGACCCAGGTCTGAACAAGTGGAGACCTCGACCTCCAGCCCCTCCACCTCTGATGATGAATGGTGAACCACACCAAGAGATGGAAGAAATTCTGGACTCGAAACTTAAGCATGGCCACCTTTACTATCTAATAAAGCGGAAATACTTTGACCCTTCTCATAATGAATGGGGGCGTGCTTTTCACAAAATGTATCCAACTAAACGTGGTGGGTGAAGTCTTGGGGGGGGGCAGAATGTCAGCTAGGCCTTTCTTGAGCCCTGGTTGCCATGGGAGTGGGGGTGACTATGGAATGTTTGGTTTCATTTCTGCTGTGTCTTCTGTGTTTCTATTATCTCTGTATGACCTTCAGTGTCTGGTGTAATCTTTCTCTTGAGAAAAGTAGCTGTTACTCTGGCGGGCTTCTACCTGATCCTTGGTTGGCCCTGGACCATCAGGGGGCCTACTTGAATAATGTATATCTGTTTGCTGCGTGGCCTTTTCTTCAGTTCTAACATGAAATGGTTAAGATATCTGCATACGCTCAATGTCTCAATAAACTTTACTTCTTTGAATGAAAGCTGTTGGGAACCGATTGCTGCAGGAGTCTGACAGTATGCATGGGTACATATTGATCTGTGATCTGTTTAAAGCCTAAAAATGACCAGAGACATTGCTTGTCAAACTAATAGGGATTTTGTTTCCTGTGCTCAGCATTTCTGACTACAGTAGAGGAAAGGAACACATAGAAACATGACTTTACAAAAGCAGTAGCAAATACAGAGAGCAAGATACAATTGTTACTCCAGATTTATTCATTCAGAATAAAATACGGTGAATGTACGTATCCAAGCATCTATGACCTACTAACTTCAAGTAAACCCTGGTCAGAAAAAAACAAACAGAACCTGTCAATGATGTGTAGAAAAAGATACCTAAATGAGAACTGAGGCAAGCTAGGGAGGGGTAAAACTACCTTCCTACTGAGCTCAAATTTTCCTCAAAATCAAGGGCACCTGCAGGCCGGGATTCACAACTCTCATTACCTCAGCACATAAAGCCCTCAATTCACCTCTATATTACTGAAAAAAATACATCCACAAGGAAACCAGCAGGCCTCCCCTATCAGTCACACCCCTTTCAGAATAATTTCCTTCTTTTCTGCTTCCCAAGTTCAATTTCAGAGTTTCACCCTCTACCCCCACCTGCTCTTCCCATATTAAACATTAATGCCAGAGTGGAACTCGATAGGGGTGGTGTTCTCTACCAAGGCAGCGGAGCGAAGGAGGAAAGGGAAGGATTGACACTGGGGGTGGGGAAGAGGTGGAAATGGTCGGCTGGTTAGCCTGCTTCTGATGGAGTAACAGAGAGGGAGCGGGGAAGAACATCTGGCAGGCAGAAGCAGGGCTGAGAGTGGGGTCAAAAGCAGGCCCCTGCCTTGTGCTGTGGCAGGTCATTCCGAATGTGCATGGAGCTCCTATGACGTGGGTTTGAGGAGGGTGTTACATTACACACTTTCACTTAAAGCCTGCTGAGGAGATAGGCTTGCCAGGTATTCACAGTACACTCAGGTAGCTCGTTTTTAGATTTAGCACAAGCTGCATCAGCAGATACAAAGTTTAATACCATCAAGGCTTTGGGCAGGATCAAAAGGCCAAACAGCCTTGGCTTACAACTTTTCTGAAAGGCAAGTGATGATGACCTGAAGACCCTGCACAAAACTAGGTTGGCACTTTTATTGTGGAATCACAGGATCCAAGGAGGGTTCACAATCCCAAGCTGCACTGGATACTGATGCAACAGGATAAACACTAACAAAACACCCAGCTAAATGTTAATTAACCTCAGTGCAAAATTAGCAGATGTTTAAAAAAACACCACAGAGAACAGTTTGCTTTCATGCATCATTTCCTTCCATTATGGCCTATCCCAGCAGCCAACTTATCACTCGAAAAATCGTCACGCATGTCAATGCCTTTCGTCTGTATTACGTTTATGTTCCACCAGAGCTGCAGCAGAAGCTTAAAGCAAGCTGTGATGCTCTCTTGGCCAAGTCTCCATTTGTGAGTTTCAGAGATCCGATTTTGTGATACTACCGGGGGGGGGGTACACTGACCAATAATGTGTGAATGCACTTATGAAACCAGTAATTTGCATAGACCAGAAAACCCTGGAACAGAATGCTTTTATAATCTGAATCCCAAAAGAACTGTACCATTTTAGAACAAACTCTGACATCTAGTGGTTCAACTCAGTATTTTTACATTTTAACAAAAAAGAGTAAACTGAGGGAGGCATTCCGAACAAATGTGTAAGAAGACAAATGTGTATTTATGAGTAATTGAACAGGAAATAGTACCCCCCATACAACAGTTACATTGGTTTGGAATTACCCGGAACTTTTTAATATATACACATTTCTGGTTTTGCTTAGTAATGCTTAACAAGAACGCACCATCCCTCCCCCACCTCAAACCCGTTTAAATTGTGTAACTGCAAAGTTTCCTTCTGCTTTGGGGAGTAGGAGTCATAACTGACTTTCTCCCTCCTGATACAAACACAGAAAAAAAACCCTACAGCTCAGCGCCTATCAGTGGTCAGAATAGAACACTGCTAGTACAGGGCAGAGCCGAAACAAGGCAGTCCTGCTCAGTCACTGGAATACAGGCTGCCTTTACAGCACAGCAAAGACGCAAAGCAAACGGTCGGTCTTGGCTGGTCAGCAAAGGATGTCGCTGAGTTCTACCTTGACTGTTAATACCCAGAATTAAACTTTGTTAGTGTTAAAGGTGCCGCTGGACTCAGACGTTGTTCTGTTGCTTCAGACCAACACAGCTACCCACCTGAAGCTGTTATCTTTTTAGATACTGGTGGATCCAGACAGCTTTTTCACTCAGTCTCACCCAGTCCTCTTCCTTACTACAGCTTCCATTTTATATGGCATTTATCCATGCAGATTCCATGAACCTCGACACAGCTTTTTTGGAGATGGTCATGGGAGGTAGAAGGTGGTAGAAAGTGCTGCCAAGTTGCAGCTCACTTATAGTCACCCCACAGGGTTTTTCAGGGCGAGAGATGGCAAGAGGTGGTTTGCCACTGCCTGCCTCTGTGTAGCAACTCTGGACTTCCTTGGTGGTCTCCCATCCAAGCACTAACCAGACCCAACCCTCTTTAGTTTCCAAAATCTGACGAGATGGGGCCAGCTTGGGACACTGGCAGGGATAAATGGTGATACTTAGGGCAGAGATAACCAAAGAAGCCCAGGATTGCGACACAGAGGCAAACAACGGCAAACCCCCTCTGAACATCTCTTGCCTTGGAAACTCTGAGGGGTCACCCTAAATTAACTGTGACTTGACGGCATTTTACATGCGCACAATTCATCCGTGAAAGAGACAGAAGGATAGAGGTCTAAGGGAAATGCAGGAGAAGGCACAGTTGGAGGCAGGAGGAGGAGGAGCTAAGCCAGCATGGTGTGGTGGTTATGTCTGACTAGGATCTGAGGGACCCAAGTTCACATCCCCGCTCTGCCACAGAAGCTTGCTGGGTTACCGGGTCAGACTCTTTCAGCTTAAAACTACCTCACAGGTTGTTGTTGATAAAATGAAGGGACAGAATATTCTCCCCACAGGGGAGAAGTGGCATATCAATATATCTACTTCTCAACATGGCCCCATCTGTGGATACTTAAATCTGAAGACGGGGGCCACAGACAGACAAGACATATCTTTCTACAGACCCAAGAAAAGTCCCAGGCTTGCAGAAAAATCTGGGGAGGAAATAAGAGTTAAAACCCTCTAAAACTATGGAGGCAGCACCTGTAGCAGCTTTAAGTAACAAATTCCCTCAGTGGCTTTTGCTAAACAACCAACTGAGTAGAGCCAGGTTTCAATCCTTCCTTTCTATCAGTAAAAGGCAGACGGAGGGACAAGCCCCTTTCCAGGGCCGTTTGGGCTTGTCCCTCCCAGATCCCTCCCTTTTCCTATGCTATTGGGCCTTTAAGGGAGGACTTATTGGGGCCAGGACTGGCAGCAGCCACTGGCAACTTGATACCACACAATCTGCTTGACTCACCCAGGAATAGCTGCTTGCTACTGTTGAATAGCACCCACCCACAAAAGCCAGTGTGGTATAGCGATTAGACCAGAATCTGGGAGACGCAGGTTCGAATCCTCACACCGCTGTGGAAGTTCACTGGATGACCTGGGCCAGTCACACATTCTCAGCCTAACCCAAAGCTGCTTTGGGTTCCCATTGTGAAGAAAGATGGGGTATCAATGAAGAAAATAAATATTTGTCAAAGATGGGAGGAAGATAAAAAGTAGGCTGCTTGATGCATGGGAAGGAGAAAAGGAAGGAGGAGGAAAAAAGGTGAGAATACAGGAGTTGCCAGGAGGTGGAAATAGTGTGGGGAGGGTGTTATGTGGAAAAGCAAGGACTTCCCCACAAATACTTGCAGCTTCCTAGATGGCCAGCACTGTGCAATCAGCCATAGTTTCCCTGGACAGAGGCTGCCAAGGAGGGAAAGGAGGGAAAGCTGAATACGGTAGGACAGATAAAGTTAGGTTGGCTGGTGAGTGGGAAGGAGAGTAAGAATTAGGAAAGGGCTACAGGGGTTTCAGGGAAGAGGAGGAGGAAATAGTGAGGAGAGGACTAGTTCTAACCCAAATGGGGGATTATGGTTAACAGCACTCCAGTTTCCAATTCTGTTTTAAGGATCGCTACACCAAAGAAATGTGCAGATAACAACACAGCAGGAATTCTATTGTTAGACTATTAGTGGCCCAGTGCTTTTCAACCAGGAAAATGCAAACATCCAAGTGAGGGATGATACTAAACACAACAAAATTAGTTGAGAGGACGGCCAAAACAAATACTTATAGTGCCATAATTTATTCTATTTACTCTGAACAAAATGAAGAAATCCTATGGGAAATTCAGTAATACGCAGCTGCTCAAAATAACTCTCCCAGAAACTTGGAATAAAGGACAATACAATCCCAAAAGACCAGCATAAAAATGTAGCATTTACATGGAATTGCTCTGCTGGAGAACAACATTTCATGCCACATTAATGCAAAAAGATGTGCCTTCAGGAACAGGATCTGGTGCACAATTTCCCCATGTAATGTCTCAGAAACAGAAAATGGACTCCATCTCATTACAAAAGGATAACAAAAGAAGTTTCACATTTGAAATCAATAACGGGTTACGCAACTAGGCCTCCCCACCATTGCCAAATTATTTACAGAAATATGGGAAATGGTTCACAAGCCAGTTTCCATTTCTCTCTCAGTTAAGTAAAATCCCATTCAACATTTGCATTGGGGAGCTCTCTAAACAAATCCCACATACAAAGCAAGTAAAGTGTCTTTCAGAGCTGCAGTATATTTGCTGGAAACCAACGTAATTTAGGAACCAGGACCATCACTGACTCCCCGCTCTGCAGAGCAAACGTAATGCTTTACAGATATTGAGAAATCATGTAATACTTTTTCAAACCTCTAGAGAAGTCAATTGCTCTGAGATGCCTGGAGTTCAGCCACCAATAGCCATGCTTTACAGGCAGAGCTTCATGCTCAAAAGCAGGGGACACATTCACCCTACAGCCAACTCTGCATCTCCGATTCATATCTCTGTGGATCAATGAAAGGCTTATCAATTGATCGGATCATTAGCTCTCCACAGTACACGCATTCAGCTGCCACAATGTCATCAATGTCAGCTTTCATCTGCTCCCGACTGGGCTGGCCCTTTTCTTGGCCAGACACATCCGTGTCCTTAGGGCGATGGTGGGACTTAGAAGGTTGGCCTGTGGCTGAAAGCTTCTTCTGAAGATCCTCCAGTTTAGCCTGCTTATAGGCAGGCAAATTTGGATAAACCTCCTGGAGAAGACAATCATAGTGGAACATGTGGCCACAGAGAAAAAGATAAAAGGGGCGGTTTAAAAGTGGAAAGTCACAAGCTGCACATTTTTCCTGAGACTCCACAGACCCATATTTATTTCTCATCTCCTGAATGTCTTCCCGAATCCTCTTGGCACTCTGCGTTGCCTCCTCCATCTCTGTCTTCAGCTCTTCTATGTGCTTGTTGTAGGCTTCGAGAGAGTTGCAAATGGCTTCCTTGAAGTGGTCAATAGTGACAAAGTCTGGGAAGAACGGCAGGACATCTTCTATCTTCAACAGGTTGCAGCTGGAAAGGCAGGCCATGGCCTTCTTGACGTCCTTCTCCTCCTGGACCACGTGCCGAGCAATTTTCAGCCACAGCTTCTTCCGCAGCTCCTCATCTTCTTCCGGGAGATCCGCACAGGACTTTGCCATATCTACGTCCACCTAAAAAAACAGACGGTTACTGGTTTCTCCTATTTATGCTGCAAAATACACAGCTGGAGAAGCACTGCTACGAGCTATCAGATACGACAGCATCAGAATATTGATACAAGACCAGAAGCCGTTCATTAAACCCAATACTGGGTGTCACTTGGGAGTATTTATGGATCATTTTGAAAAGTCAACAATCAAGAAACGAGTCAAGATACAGCTATTCAACCAGGGTTGCATTTCTACATAGCTTTCACATACCCCTTCCTTTTATACTTGTTATGTTTTCTTTTTTTCCCTCCTGTACCCTAGGAAAGGCCAGCGTCATATACTCCTTGCAGGACATTGGGAAAGGTAAGCTTCGTAAAAGCTACAGGATCCTTTCATTCATTCAACAGCAACTCTTAGCCTGCAGACATTTGCCCTTCGAGGCCCAATAATCACCCCCCTGTTCTTTACCAGATAAGAGCAGAAATGACATGCCTGGCACAGGAACAGCAGCTGCACAGTGGGGTTGACTTGATCAGAGGCATTATCCAACTTGAGACAAAACAAGCTAGAAGCAATTGTATTCTAAAAAAACAATCATACTTCATCATCCTTATGTTCACTGCCAGAACTTTGGTACCAACAGATTTTTTTTAAAAAAACATATCCCTCTTTTCTCCTTACAAGGGATTCATTCTTCCCTCCTCCATTTTATCCTTACAGTCTGCACCCTTGTGAAGTAGGTTCAGCTGCGAGAGTGTGACAGGCCCCAGGACACCCAGCAAGCTTCCCTGGCAGAACAGGGATCGAAGCCCAGTTCCTAGTCTGACACCCTAACTACTCCACCCTGGTCAGTTCCCAGCCCCTGCACTCTTCCATTAGTCCCATGTCACTCATGTCACACAAGGCAAACACCAGTGAAGCTCTTTCCACTTCACCATACAAGGGTCTAACAGCTCAATATACTGGCAGTCGATGGCAGACAGACAAAAGGAACTGACCTTCACATGGTGCCTAATGATCTCGTGGAATTCACTTCCACAATGGCTGCCAATTCAAACAGCTTCCAAAACTATTAGACAAATCCACGGAAGAGGGAGTCCACTGATGGCAATTAGTCAAGACCAGTAAACCAAACCTCCACGAACAAAGGTGGTTTACTTCTGGATGCTGCGATGGCCAGTAGAGACGAACCACTGCCTTCAAGCTGTGCTTGTGAAGTTCTCACAGGCCACTTGCAGTCGATGTTCAAATGAATACTAGACTGACTAAATGGACTGCGACATGATTCAGTAAGGAAATTCTTACATTAACATTCCTTTGCTTTCCAGACTAGTAGTAAGGCAACATACTTTCCCAGATTATCCTCTGCATTCCATAAACGTCATCACCTCTTCAGTCCCTCCTTAAGAAAGCTTTTAAGCAGGAGCAGATGAGCCCTTTAGCATAATGGAAAAGTTCCTGGTGGGCCACTGCCCTGGAGAGCTGCTGGCAGTAAGGAGCAAGCGGAATCCTGCTGAGGCTGGCAGAGTCTTGCACCCAGTCAGTGGCAATGAGGGGCATAAGCTCACCCACTGCCTCCCCTTTTCTGCCACTGGCCAGGTGAAGGAGACGAGGAGATTGGATTTATATGCCACCCTTCACTTGGAGACTCAGAGTGGTTTACAATCTCCTTTCCCTTCCTCTCCCCACAACAGACACCCTGTGAGGTAGGTGGGACTGAGAGAGCTCTTTCGAGGACTGCTCTTGAGAGAACAGCTCTGAGAAAACTTGCGACTGACCCAAGGTCACTCCAGCAACTGCATGTGGAGGAGTGGGGAATCAAACCTGGTTCCCTCAGATTAGAGTCCGTGCTCCTAACCACTACACCAAGCTGGTTCTCATGCAAGCTGAGAAGCATTGGAAGAGCCGGCACCCACTGTTGCTGCTGCTGCTCAGGCTGGCTCATTCCTGGGCCAATTTAATGCCCCCGCCCACCTCTGCTCATAGCCCCTGAACTTTCAAGATTGCAACTTCATGACGCTCACAGTTCTCATAACAGCACACACCTACCTGCAAGGCTAGATCCACAGCCTCCTCATACATCTCCATAACTTTGTACACATGGACACAAGCTTGGTGGTGGCCATGTTCTGCACACAGCCGGAGCGCATACTTCAGGTCACAGTGGATCTTGTCTGAGTTGGATCCTGCATTTTCCAGATAGACCAACAGGGATTTCGGGTCACAGACAGCATAGAGTGACAGCAGGTAGTTATGAATGGCTTGATGAGTTTCCTTCAGCTCGTACACACAGAACTCCAGGTAGCGAATGGCTTCACTGATCTGCACAGTGCTGCCGCATTGACTGTAGTTGACAAGGGCCGGGATGAGGTTCCTCGCATCCAACTGCTTGCCCATTTCAATCCAGGCCTCAACCACCATCTTGGGGATGTGCTGGATCAAGATAGGAGAGAACTTGTAAAAAAGGGCCTCGTCCTTGATTTTGGACAAGACTTTTAGCGCTGCACTGTAGTTGTCATGCTGGCAGTGATGGGCGATCACCCGCTCGTAGTCATGCATGAGGACAGCAAAGTGCACCATGTTTTCTGTGTCCCCGTGGCTGGCTAGCAGCTCATGAATGGTTGCCCGGTTGTTGAACAGGCAGTCTTTATTTCTGGGGCTACCCAAAAAGCTGCGGAAATTGTCCCGAGCCTTCACGTGGAGGCCTTGTTTCGATGGATCCCCTTCCAGCATTCCCAGGCGATTCAAATAGAGTTCTGTTAGCCAGATGGTCAGCAGAGTGGTCTGAGTCTTTTCAGAAGGCTTCAAGCCAGCCAGCTTCTTAAGGAGGAACTCCATCAACGCTTCCTCCTGTTTGGCTTCGATAAATTTAAGGGCAATCTCCTCAAAATAATTTTGGGTCAAAGCGTAACACTTAGCACTGTCAAGGTACCTCTTGTTCTGGAAGCAGTGTTCTGCCTCCTTTGCCAGGACAATATCCAGACATTCGGGACGGTCCTTGCAATACTCTTTGGCCAAATCGAACTTGTTGATGTTCATGTACATCTTCCACACATCTCGGGACTCTCGCTGCACATTGTACCGAAACACCACCTTTTCTGTGTGAATCCAGATTTGTCCATACGAGGGATCTTTGATCATTCGTGTTAATGAGCCAAACTTGTCCAGGAACACATCCTGGAAGACAACTTGCCCGTTCAGAGTGCAGACAGCCTTCACCTGGTCAGGAAACAGCAGCAGGAAATGGAACTGCGTGAGCACTATGGAGATGGGCTTGTTGACGGAAATGTCTACATCACAAGGATATTCCCAGACTTGCTCATCACTCAGAATAGAGTCGGGACGTCCATAGTCCAGTGATCCATACAGGACACCATTTCCCATCATCCAAGCAAATGCATTTGGAGAAGAGCGAAGCTTTGGCGTGTAGAATGCTATCTCACTGTAGCCAAAGCTGGCTGGAAACTCACGGAACCCAGGCAGATGATTCAAAGGCATGCTGAATATAGGTCCAAAGCCTTGTTGATCAGCCCCTTCTGGAACCTTACCGACAAACTGGAACAGTCTCTTACGAGTGGTGGCAATGATAAAACATTTCCCATCAACTCCTCGTTCTATCTCTAGACAGCACACTGGGGCTGGCCCCGCCTCCTCCTCCAAGTTATAAATGAAGCGGAAGTACTGGTCAGGGGTAGTGCCAAAGAGGCCGCCCTCGCTGATAGAAATCTCAGCCTCATATATGTGGCCTTGGGATGTCCCCACCAAAATTGGGCCTGTGTTGGTCTCCGAGCCCGAGAACTTGTTCCAGCCCACACTCTCAACCAAATGACCTTTCCAGCGAGACAGGGGTCGCACCTTCTGAGCGTTTCGGTTCAGATAGAGGCATTCACTGGTGTTCAGGGCAATGACAAGGTGAGAACCTGAAAGGGAAAAGGGATACAGTGACAGAAGTGGGAAATAATCAACAGAGGGCCACAAGGATCCCTTGCTAGGTGTAGCCTCTGAAATTGACAGGTGTTTTAGGTTTGCTCTGAAATTAAGATCTGACATACATACTGAAATATTTAAATCCACCCAGAGGATGACATTTGTCATATCATCTTGCGTACCACCATGTATTTGTTACCCCTAATTTTAGGCAGGAACAAAGCTGTTGCAAGGAAATGTGATTATTGCCAAGGAATCTCCAGTTTGCCTCATGTGTAAGTTTTACAATCTTTTTGTGTTTTTATTCAAAATATGATGCTCAAGGACAATGCATATCAATATCTAATACTATTTGGAGTTTGGATATATTTTGTCCTAGTCTCATATGTTAGATGCCATGTTAAATTAAGATAGCATAATAATGGCTTTAAAGTTCATCTGCAAATGTTACTCTACTGAAGTCTATAAACAACAGTGAAGAGTGTATTTTCGTAGCCTACAGCGATACCATTCTTGCTAATAAATCTGGTATTCTGGAAAAAAGTAGCAAAAATGCACGTCGCACACACAGAGAGACAAACCTGAGCACAATAACTCTGAGATATTTACTGAATATCCTCTACTCTCACCTCACCTGTGTGGTCCAGAAACAGCTTGTAAACTTTGGCGTCATCTTTTCGTCCAAGCTCCACTTGGTTAGGCTCATCTGCTTTGGCCAGGTCAAGCCTAATAAAAGGGGGAAGAATACAGATGACTTCACAGTAAGAGACACCAAGTGGATCTGTAGAAACTTTGCCACTTGAAAGCAGAGGATTCATTCATTTATTTACTTCATTTATGTCCTCACTTTCTTCCCAATGAGGCCCCAAAGCAGCTCACAACATTCTCACTATCTCTATTTTATCTTCACAACAAACCAATCAGGTAGGTTAGGCAGAGTTGGGGAGGGGACATGGTTCAAGTGGTAGAGCATCTGTTTTGCATACAGAAGGTCCCAGGTTCAATCCCTTGTATCTCCAGTTAAACAATCTGGCAGTAGGTGATGTGCAAGACCTCTGTGCCTGAGATCCTGGAGAGCTGCTGCCTGTCTGAGTAGACAGTACTGACTTTGACGGACCAAAGGTCTGACTCAGTATTAAGGCAGCTTCAAGTGTTCATGTGATTGATACAAGGGCACCTGCGCCTCCCAGATTCTAGCCCAAAAGTCTAACCCAAACACCACGCTGGCTTTTAAAATTTGTTATTGTGTATTCACTATGTCTTCATATGCCTCAAATACAGCAGTCATAGGCATTTGCAAATCCTGAAACTGAGAACAGCAAACTTGTAATGTGCAGTAACACACAAACGCGCACACACACGGAAAATTCAGCAACAGAACTGAGCTTTTGAAAATTTTATCTTGAACACAGGTTTGCATTCTACAGAAAAGCCACCCAAGTCAAATTCAGCAGTCAGTTTTGCAAGTATGCAGACATTAAAATAGTCTTGGATCACAGTGGGAACCCACAGATTGGTTGTGCCCTTTGGCAATCACATTGCTGTGTCCACTTGGGTTGCCATGACTGACCATGCCATCTCCATTGATTGGGAAAGAACACTTGGACAGCATTTGCTTGTCCCTATAAGCATAAGCGCCTTGGCAGGCAGCTTGCAAAGTATGGTGCTTTGATACCGTGGCTTTAAAGTCACTTTGGAGTAGAGCACTGTTTTTGTAAGCAATTCTGGTCTTGCTTTACCCATACCATCAAGGTCACATTTAAAGAACAGTTTAATATCCATACTGCAATTCCAACTCACCATGGAAAGCTTTGAAAACAACCTGTCTTCAGGTATTTTGGCACATCAATTTTTGTTTTGCTATTCCACTCTTAACAGGCATAGGATTAGAAGTATTTGAGAGAAATGAAGACATAATTTTGCTGTAAAAATCAGATGCACAGGGGCCTAATCTAGGGTCATATGCCTGCTCCAATGAACTAAATAATGGTTCCCCACGGCCATTCTAACTTCCAAAACTGGCACACGTGAAGGCTTAGACACCCCCTCCCCACATACACAGTGATCCTAATCAGAAGTGAATCCTCACTAGCCTGATTTTTTTTAATGGAAAAAACATATACAAACATACCAGAAGCTCTGCTTACAAAACTTCCAGCATCTCATATCGTTTGGCCTGTACTGACCAGACCTAAATATGTTTTCTTGGGTGATTTAAGACCTTGACCTATTTGACCAATCAAGCAATCTCTTAAGGTTTCCCTCAAAACACATACATTATACAGGAACTCAGTTCAGAATGAAATGCATTATTCATGATGATAATGGGAATCTCTCTGAGCTATTGATTTAAGTTCCCTACCAAACTACTCCAGGACTCCAACAACCAACTATCCAGCATCTCAGTTCTGCACTGTGACATCATGTTGTTTATGTGCTGGATCCAAACTCATTGCTGGGAAGAGGCAATACATTTTCTGAACAAGGAATTGACTGGATAGCAATAGCCTGAGGCGTGCACGTATGTGTCAGTGCTGCTTCCATCACACAGCCCTCTGTATGGACCACTGGCTTAATGGCATTTAGTATCCTCATAGGAGGGGGCTTGATGAAATGCCACTCCAGTGGTAACAGCCATTCTCGCCCAACCTGGAAACATCGGCTCCCAAAACCAATCTGGGAGCAGAGCAGATAATGAAGAAGGGGCCAGGGGCAACACTGTTCTTTGGGCACTATGATAAATGAGTTATTACAATAAGAGGGAGAGGTCAGCAATTGAAAAGCCATGAAATCCACACTAGAAACACATCATGGGCTGTGTCTGCCATGTGACATTGGTGCAATATGTATTGGATTGCCACGGCTCACTTCTGTAAGGTTTTTAATCTGAAGTGACAATTCTTAGGGTGTTCTAGACAAAGTCATCAATGATATTTGATTTCAAAGAAATGTTTGCTGTAATGCTGGACTGTGGGAGACGGAGGGAAGCTGTCAGCACACTCAAAGGTCACTTCCATCTCCACAAATTTAGAACAGGACACAAAAGATGAGACTCAACACTTCATCAAAGCATCACTGACCGCAACACATTTTCTGAGATGACCAGATATCCGCCCATCTTGAACACACCTCATTATGAATTTACATTACTAATTTGGAAGAGAAATAACAGGAATGGGATGATAATAAATGATTGGTACAAGTTACCTAAAAATGATGTCTTTCCCAAGACTCATACACAGCTGGTTAGAGGAGACCACCAGGCTGTTAATCTTCTCAGGAGGGGTGAAGTCAATCCTCTGTTTGTTAAAAATATGTGTCTCTTTTTCCAGCCGAGCATTCACATAACCTTAAAGAAGAAAACTGCAAGTTAAAGAAAAATTTAATAGCAATGGCATATAAAAAAATGTTTGGGGGGGGGGGGGAGACACTGGAGCCAGAAAGCAGAAGTTCCGTGCAAAACTAGGGTAAAGTGGCATGGAAAGGCTAATGCATTTATATCCTGCACATTAGCTCTCAAAATCATCTCACTAGCAGCAACTGGATTAGGCAACTATAATCACTTATCAAATTATTAGCAGCTCAAGGATTCATTTCAGAAATAGAGTGTGTTTTGGCAGGGAGTAGGTTTTCTCTCATAACACTTTAAATTCCAGATGGACTGGCAAATCTATTCTGTACCTGAATGAAGTCTGATTGGAATGAAAAAGAAAATGTGCCCAGAACGGCGGGGGTGGGGACCAAAATAAACACCCCCTAGATATTAAAACCTGGATTTTCCCCTATAAACACATCCGCTTCTGACGCCCCTGGCTCCGCAAGTCCCTGGCGACCGTTCCGCAAGTAACACAGAAAGCAAAGAACGAGACGTCATGCCCGAGGCCGCTCACAGGCCCCTCGGGATCTGGGCTGCAACAAGGGAGGGCCGGGTCAGTAAATGCAGCGGGCTGGGCAGTCCCCGCAGCGGTCCCTCTCCTCTCCTCTCCTCTCCTACCGGTGTGTGGGATGCCCAGGCTGCTGCGGATCTGCTGCGAAGAGGCCATGTTGGAGATGGAGTCTTGGTAGTCGTCCCGCATGGAAGCCATGGCCTCTCGTGGTGTCCGGCCGCACTTCTGCAGCGGCACTCGGCGAGTCCCTCCTGGTCCCCGGGCTCCTACGCCGGCACTCAGCTGACCCAGGGAAGGCCCGATCCCCGTAAACCGGGGCGAACTGTTCGGCGCTGCTTCCTGTTTCCGGTGGAATCCTCGACCATAGAGCTCCGCGGCTTGTTAGGAAGCTGCCTGGCGACGACCAGCCTTGTTCGAAAGGGTTTCCCGGGGCGCATCTTTAGGAAGGAGGTCCCAAAATTGTTTTATTAATAATAATAATAATACAATCACATCTGCTGTGGTTGCCATTACACAAACTACTCTGTGTCGGGGGGGGGGGCATGTGGGGAAGAGGAAGCGCTGCAATTTCCATCGTTCCTCAACAGCGGAGTTCTGGGCAGAGTCACGCCTTTCTAAACCCATTGACTATAACAGTGTCAAGGGGTGTGTATCTGTGTCTAGGATTACATTGTAACCCGTAACTCGGAGTTTCCCATCCTGGCGTTGATGTAAGAGAGCAGAAAATGTTTGGAGGGGGTCAGAAAAAACCTGGCTGGAAATGCACGTGCCGATTCTCTGTAAGGGTGCTGGAGTAGCAAAGTGCTAAATTAGAAGTTCAAATCAGAATAGCAACTTGTTCAGGAAATTCCTGTTTATAAAAGCAACAGGGTCAGTGTTAATTTTTGTAGTTTTCATTGCTTTGTACTGTCGCACTGTTTCTCTAATTTTGTAATCCAGTTTGATTTCATTGTTTCTTATAAGCAGTATACTGTTTTAGTGCTCTGGATAGATTATAAAATATGCATAATTTTTAAACATATTTACTTGTGATTTTAAAGAAAGAAGAATTGGCTTAGTGCTTGTTAGGTTTAAATGGTGTTTAGGAAAAAACTATACAAAGTTGCTATTAATAAAATTCGGGAGAGGTGAAAGAGGAATGGTTAGATGTCTAGGGCTGCAGTGATTCTTGATCACAGTGTCAGCTAGAAAGTTGACGATGGTGCTAAGAACAAAGTTTGAGTCCAGTGGCACCTTTAAGACCAACAAAGTTTTATTCAAGGTATGAGCTTTCGTGTGCAAACACATTTCTTCAGATACAGTGAAACACTATTTGTGCTAAGGAACCACTGAATTTGTTCTGGTCCTGTGCAGGGTTAAAAAGTTGCAAAAACCCCACACTAGAGTCACACGTTGATGGAAGTATGACAGTAGGAAATGCTTCATGTTCCCATGAAAGCATATGTCACATTCATCAAAAACATGATACTTAGCAGAATTTTCGGAAGAGGTTTAAAAGTGCTGGAAACAACTAGGATTCAGGTTGCTTTATGCATGTGGATAAATTTGATGACTATCAAATAAAAGAACATTTATTAGGCATTTGCTATCAATCTGTCTGTCAATGTTATAAGCTTTTCCAATAGAACAAATTCCAGATTTGCCCTGTTTGTAACAAAAATAAAAGCACTGCTACAACCTTAATTACTAACATGTTCATTGAGGCTTTCTATGCAAGAACCTAAATCATACCTGAAATATCCACAAAACCCCCATCTGATAAAGTATACTTTTACCACCAAAAATAAAAAAATCTAAACATTTACTTGGAAGTAAATTCCACCATGCTCAATAGGCTTACTTCTGCTCGTAGTACCCATGAGTGCAGACTATAGGAGCCATCCTTTCTACTTCTGCTCACTAGGTGGCAACATATCCCAACAAATATTAATACAGGCAGCTACAAAGTAACTAGCAGAGGCATTCAAATTCTGTTCATTAAAGTTTGTGTGTGGTATGCATTAGACATGGTGCCAAGATAAAAAGAGCCACTAGAATACACTGCGGCTGTATTTACTATTGGCATCCGAATCCATTGTAACTGTTTTCTTCATTTCTTCATTTTGCTTCAGACCAACAACACACTTAGCAGTAAATCATTAGCTATCAAAACCAGCAAAACGTTTGTGTTTGTGTGTTTTGTCATTCATATCTTAAGTAAACTGATAAAAATTGAAGTTTTGATTTAACAGCTTAGTATATAGACAGGAAGGAAGACTGCCACGGCAATACTAAACAAAGTTAAAGGTTCCCTTGCTCGAAAGCCAGTCGAATCCGACTCTAGGGTTGCGGTGCTCATCTCCGTTTCAAAGCCGAAGAGCCAGCGTTGTCCGAAGACATTTCCGTGGCCATGTGGCCGGCATGACTAAACACCAAGGCGCACGGAAGGCTGTTACCTTCCCACCGAAGTGGTACCTATTTCTCTACTTGCAATTTCTTGCTTTCGAACTGCTAGGTTGGCAGGAGCTGGAACTAGAGATGAGAGCTCACTCCATCATGCGGCACCCGGGTCTCGAACTGCTGAACTACTGACCTTCCACAGGCTGCAGTTCAGCGTCTTAACCACTTGAGCCCCCGCAGCTCCTAAACAAAGTTACAGCCTTCTAAACCCATTGACTTCAACAGACCTAGACCAGTGCTACTCTGCTTAAGACTACTGTAATTCTCTAGTTTAGGGAGTCATGGAAGTCCATCAAGCAGATTGGCTGACATCTGACATCTGCTTTGCAATGGTTATGAAAATCAAGATTATCCAGGGTTCATTGTATTGCAGACTCACAGCCCACAAAACTATGCAAAGCTAGATCTGCGTAATCTTATTCCAATCACTGTACTTAAGTACATCTCAGGCTGCACAGGATCAAGCTAGAAAACTGTCATCAGGGCCATTGACAGGGTGGGCCAGTGGAGGTGGTGCCCCACCAGGAAACAGTGACTCATCCTGCCTGACTTTTAAAAAATGACAAGAACAAAGACATATATTGATACATGGAATGACAGCTTATTTTAAATATTTTGAGAACATAGACTTTTTTTAAAAAATGGAGGCAACTAATGCTCCCCAAAACTGATAGAGCTGCAGGCTTTACCCATCTGGCCTACTCACCCTGGACCAGGATGGATTTTTCACAACCAACTGTATAATGAGTAATCTGCCGTGGGGAAAGTGCTTGATAAGGGCAAGGGATAATTTTTTTAAAAAAGAGAATTGTTCATTGTAAGTGCAGCAAAAGTATCTGAACACAAAATTAACTGATTTAAGTTATACTAATTATTAGTAGACATTAAGACATTGCAGCAATAAAACTATAAAGCAACTCCAAGTACCAAATTATTTAGGAGGTCTCTTTCTGAATACCAGGTCTGCATTCTAATAACATATATTAAGAAAATGGGAAAATGCAAACCATTTTTCTGACCTATAATAAATGGTGTTCTCTTTCTTGAGCATTGCTCACAAAGAGATACATGATGGTTGAATGAATGAATGAATTTATTATTACAGCGCATAGCCAGCAATACAAAACCATATCTGCAAATATTTATCATATAAATAAATTACAATGTCAAAAGTATCCAGTTAGTGAATCTATTAATATAAAACAAGGTTAAATAGAAATAAAATTGTACAAGTATTTTAAACTCTAAAGCCAAAAATACGGTATAATAATGGACAGAATTTAGTCTTAAAAAAGATAAAATAACAAGAATAAAAAGATCGATTAGGTTAAAAACAAACAGTCCTAACCCAAGTGGCTGCCTGGACACTGATGAGCTTTTACAACCAAAAGACAAAATTTCGCTATCTGATGTAGCGCTATATGGTCAGAATTTGAAAGCGATTTCTCTATCTTATCCTGATCTGAGGAGCCAACCAAGAGAGGGCCAATAAGTTTTGTGCGAGCTTCGTTATATAATGGGCATCTCAGGAACACATGTTCCTGGGATTTGATCTCCCCAGATGCACACATACATAGCCTCTCATTTCAGGGAGTTTTCTTGAATTTGCCCTCAAGAACTGCAGAAGGTAAGGCAGAGCATCTAGCCAGAGTATAGACCCTCCTAAGTTTATTTGACTCCAAAACAGATAAGTATGGGGTTTGAGCAACAATATATTTACTACTGTATGGCGCTAAAAAGGCCGGGGTCGCCTGTACGTCCAGTTGGCATTCGATGTCTTTAATCCTCTGCCTGACCACTAGCTTAGCTTGATCACCACCCCTTTCCAAAAGCTCTTGGGGGGAAAACCCTAATAGCGTAATTTTCCGAATAGTATGGGTCAGCCATTCAGATTGGTAATCGTCAATCAGGATTAAAGGCACAAGGGCACATGGATTTAGATTTATCTTTAACCAGAAAAAAATAGAGTGCAAGGTGATCTTGGCTTCAACTTTCATCATGCCAGTCTCTAGCCGTACCATTGTATTGGTGACACACCTTGGAACTTGGAGCACTGATCTCAAAAATTTCGATTGAACCAACTCTAATGGGACATAACAAGAAGATGACGCTCCAAGTAGCGTCCCATAGAGCATCTGGGCTAATGTTTTAGCCTTAAAGAGTTTCAGCGCTGCTGGCACGAAATAACCCCCTGTAGAACGAAAAAACTTGAGTATACCTTGGGGATACATGATGGTTGTTTTTCCAACTTTTAAAACAAAACAATTAAATGTTAATTTGTGACAAACTTTATACTTCCTAATGACCATGGACCTTTGAAATGGCAAACTACCTTGTACTATCCAACAGGCTGGCAAATGTCTCTTTTAACGTAGTTCAAGAGCACTATGGAGAGTCCCTTTTGTTACAATGAGAATTTGGTGACATACAATTTTACAGGGTTTCATATATGCACACAATGAATCATTACACAGCCTTGGAGTTTTCTCATCATCTTTTTGGGGATCATCTTCTAAGCAGTGGTGTTGATTTGCTTGTACTTAAGTGAGGGAGTTGGCTTTCTCCCCACACTGGACTGTGATGAACAGTCTGGGTGATGCATGATGAATCAGCCAGCTGGCTCTTTGACTAATTAGGTAGTATATTAAGAGGGTGCATGACAAGTGAGGTGTGTGTCTCATCTCCAGTAACCTCACTCTTGGTTTAACCTGGTGCCATTTGTGTGGTCCTCCTCCTCCATGCTGCTTCTCCCATAAGGATACACATGGACAGACATCATTTGAGCATTAAGTCCACTGTGAAAGCACACTTACCACATTTTGTACAGGATCAACCTCAGGGAGAAGGTGCTTCCTTCTTTTTGAAGCAGAAATCAGTT